TTGGCCGAGTTTCCCCGCTCTCCGCGGGCAGCATATAAAGCTCTCCTCTCAGTCCAGCGGTGGCCGGCGTGCTCCCCTTAGGAGATAGAGAGACGTACAAGAGGACAATCGGAACAGCTGAGACAACCAATTGATACATCTATATAGCATCGTCGCCATGGCACAGCTCGCTACCTTCAAACCCCCCACGGTTCAGAATGAGCCAAACGTCTGTCGCAGCCCCTCTCCCCGTTCGTAAGCTATAGTTATAGCTTGACTGACAGTGGATATAGAAACACTACGCCAAGGGCTCTCCGGACCGAGAGCAGCTCGTCTGTGCCCTGGAGCAGTTCAAGAAGAAAGCTCCTCTCGAGGTTCCTGTCATGATTGGAGGGAAAGCTATCACCACCTCTCCGATACAGACGCAGCAGAACCCATCTGACCACGCTGTCTGTGTTGCTAAATATCACACCGCTTCAGATGACGACATCAAAGCGGCTATTGATAATGCTTTGGAAGCCAAGAAGAAGTGGGAGGCCATGCCTTTCTCGGACAGAGCTTCTATCTTCTTGAAGGCGGCTGATCTAGTCGGCACCAAGTACCGTTATGAAATGATGGCAGCCACCATGCTGGGCCAGGGGAAGAACGCATGGCAGGCAGAGATTGACGCTGCTGCTGAAGCTGTGTGACTTTTTAAGGTATATCCTACTCTCTTTTTCCAAAATTCTATGGATTATATATATATATATATATATATATATGGTATGTATTGACAAATTTTAGGTTCAACGTTCACTACGCATCTGAACTTTACGCTCAGCAGCCAGTTCACAACGCCCCCGGAGTCTGGAAGTAAGTATCTCTATTACCAGAACATTATGCAGATACACTCTCTAACAACATATGTACTGCAGCCGTGTCGAATACCGACCCCTCGAAGGCTTTGTATATGCCATTTCCCCATTCAACTTCAGTGCTATCGGAGGCAACCTGCCCGCCGCCCCAGCTCTCATGGGCAACGTGGTGCTGTGGAAGCCCTCCCCCTTCGCCATTGCGTCCAACTACCTCATTTACAACATTCTCACTGAAGCTGGCCTCCCAGCGGGTGTCATCCAGTTCGTCCCCGGAGACGCTGAGAGAATCACTAGCTTGGTTCTAGACAACAAGCACTTCTCCTCCCTACACTTCACCGGCAGCACAGCTGTCTTCCGTTCTCTCTATGGCAAGATCGCCCAGGGTGTAGCAGACGGCAAATACCGCAGCTATCCTCGCATTGTAGGCGAGACCGGAGGAAAGAACTTTCACCTTCTCCACCCCAGCGCAGACACGGACAATGCCGCTATCCATACGGTTCGTGGAGCATTCGAATTCCAGGGCCAGAAGTGTAGTGCCTGCTCAAGAGCCTATGTGCCACAGTCAAAATGGGAGTCATTCCGAGCCAAACTCGTGGAAGAGACTGAGAAATTGAAGATCGGAACTCCTGAGGACTTCACTAATTTCATCGGACCCGTTATTCACGAAGCTTCATTCAAGAAATTGGCGAAGGTTATTGATGACGCGAAAGATGACAAGGAGCTCACACTCCTTGCTGGAGGCAAATACGATTGCTCAAAGGGATACTTCATTCACCCAACTATATACTCCACAACGAACCCAGAACATCACCTTCTCAACACCGAGCTCTTTGGGCCGGTGCTGGTTATCCTCGTGTACCCAGATGAGGCAGCCGATGCGTTTGAGAAGATTTGTGAAACAATTGATAACACCGGTGCCTATGGCTTGACTGGTGCTGTGTTCTCTCAGGACCGTGCGGCAGTTCATTATGCGGAGAATGCTCTTAGGGGTACTGCTGGAAATTTCTACATCAACTGTAAGTGTACTGGTGCTGTTGTTGGACAGCAGCCATTCGGAGGTGCCAGGGCGTCTGGTACCAATGATAAGGCCGGTAGTGCGGCTTTGATGGGCAGGTTTGTGAGTATGAGGTCCATCAAGGAGGAGTTTGTACCTGTTCATAGTGTTCTGTACCCCAGCAATGAGTAGGCAGTGGTGAACGGTTATTGGGTTACTAGATGACGCGATGGAATATGACAATTAATTATAGTATTACACTATGCCTGTATGACCGTGCTGCTATTGTAAATGTCTTTGTCAATCAGAACTGGAAAGACGAAGGTACTTATGGAATGTTGTCAAGAATGGGAGTTTCATTCGCTCTCTTTTATCTTCGATCAGGATATAAGAAGCATGCCCAGTATCTACCTAGGCAAAGAGAAGGTAAGGTGAATGAACATCTTGAGGAATTAAAAGGGAAATGTTTTTTATAATTGTTTCTCCGAAAACAAAAGAAAAAGGAGCAAAATTAAAAAATATTGGGTTGTAGAGGGGATATCAAACAGCCAATTGATCATGTTTTGTTATCACTCAGTGACTAATACCGACTTGCCTCAAAACGAACACGCTGGTTGGGGAATTATTAAGCAGACAAGAGAACAGAGGATGGGAGCATAAGCACGCGCTGGAGTCCGATTGGACGCAAGGCTCGCACTTAGTGGATGTGATACATCTGCTGTGCGGAGAGAAAGGGGTACGGCTTAAAGGGAATGCAAGTGGGTGGACAAGAGAGGCGTGAGAGCCTAAAATATACCGGCACACTGCATTTACTCTTCACCCTCGAGCTGCTCGTCCTCAAGACTGCAAGAAGAAAATTGGTTAGCGTATAGGTAGGACAGATATTATATAGATAGGTAGATACTTACTATTCCTCCTCACCGTCAGAGACGGAGGCATCCTGGTACTGCTGGTATTCGCTGACCAAGTCATTCATGTTGTTCTCGGCCTCAGTGAACTCCATCTCGTCCATACCCTCACCAGTGTACCAGAACAAGAAAGCCTTCTTGCGGAACATAGCAGTGAATTGGTCACCGACACGCTTGAAGAGCTCCTGAATGGAGGTGGAGTTACCGACGAAAGTAGAGGACATCTGGAGACCGCGTGGAGGAATAGAGCAAAGAGCGGTCTGGACGTTGTTGGGAATCCATTCGACGAAGTAGGCGGAGTTCTTGTTCTGGATGTTGCGCATTTGGTCCTCAACCTCCTTCATGGAGACCTTACCACGGCTATTCGGGTGTTAGTAAAAGAAGCCAAGCATAGAGTTAATAAATTAGGGTACATACAAGATGGCAGAGCAGGTAAGGTAGCGGCCGCTACGGAAGTCGGTGGCGGCCATCATGTTCTTGGGATCGAACATCTGCTGGGTCAACTCCGGCACGGAGACGGCACGGAAAGAGTAGGCGTTGCGGCTAGTAAGGGGAGCAAATCCAACCATGAAGAAGTGGAGACGAGGGAATGGAACCATGTTGACGGCCAACTTGCGGAGGTCAGAGTTGAGCTGACCTGGGAAACGAAGACTGGTGCTGACACCGGACATGACGGCGGAGACGAGGTGGTTAAGATCACCGTAGGATGGGTTAGTGAGCTTGAGGGTTCTCATGCAGATGTTGTACAAGGCCTACAAGCAGTTAGAAATACCGAACCCTGGCCAATTAAAGGGAGCTAGAGAAAATATACCTCGTTGTCGATACAGAAGGTCTCGTCGGAGTGCTCAACGAGCTGGTGGATGGAGAGAGTGGCGTTGTATGGCTCGACAACGGTGTCAGAGACCATTGGGGATGGGACAACGGAGAAAGTGGCCATCATACGGTCTGGGAATTCTTCACGGATCTTGGAGATCAGGAGGGTACCCATACCGGCACCGGTACCACCACCGAGGGAGTGGGTGATCTGGAAGCCCTGGAGGCAGTCGCAGCCTTCGGCCTCACGACGGACAACATCGATGACCTGGTCGACCAAGTTGGCACCCTCAGTGTAGTGACCCTTGGCCCAGTTGTTTCCGGCACCAGACTGACCGAAGACGACGTTATCGGGGCGGAAAAGCTGACCGAAAGGACCGGCACGGACAGCATCGAGAGCGGCGGGCTCAAGATCAACAAGAACCGCACGGGGAACGTATTTTTTGCTTGAGGCCTTTGCCTCCAATGAGTTAGTATGCTGCTGAAGGGAAGGGTCTTGGTCGTGCACACCTCGTTGAAGTAGACATTCATGCGCTCCAATTGGAGGTCAGAAGATCCGGTGTAGCTAAAGAAATCCCAGTCGTCAACATTCAAGTCCCTCGAGACTCGGGGACTTTGTCTCCCCTGCAGAATCACTCACTGGCCGGATCCATCGAGACCGTGCTCACCGGCAATGGTTTGCCTGTAAATCAAGTCAGTAACAATTCGACACGAGATATACAATTACGATGCAACGCATGAATGCTCACCAGAAAGCAGCACCAATTTGGTTACCCTATTGTCGAACAATTGTTAACTCAAACGGGTACCTGACAACGAACCAGGGAACGATCAAAGCTTACACATTGGCCGGTTTGGAGATGGACCTATACGATAAATGCACGTTAGCCTGAAGCTCGACGCTCGCTATGTGAGAATTGTGAAACTCGGAGCCTGTTCCATTCACGCTGGGACATGGTCGTGTGGTGGCCCTCTCGCCTGCCCCCCTTTCTTGGCCTGTGCAGACCGTGTCGTGTTTTTCGGGCACAAATAGAGGGGAAGTGATGGACAGGGGGAAGCTAGACTTACGATTTCACGCATGTTGACGAGAGTAACGGACGGTTGAGGGTGGAGTGGACGGAGTGAAGTGTTCGGGGTCGGGTCGAGGACTGTTGCTCTATGTTTGTTGTGTGAAGTTGAAGAGTTGAGAAGTTGAAGTCGAAGAAAGGAGAAGAAAGTCGGGCGTGGTGGGCGGTGAGCAAAGGAGGTAGCTCGATCGGGACTAGCGTTGTTTACTGCCGTTTAGCGCTAAGGGGTTGCTTAGTAATTGATTATATAAACGTGAAGATGCCGAGCGAGCAGCGAAATAGCAGAAATACTTATAATAATACAGAACCAAGGGCTAGCTATCCTATGCCTACGAGTGATATAGAAACCGAAAAAAAAAGGGAGATTGTTTGAGGGGCGACACGCTTAGCTGTCCACTGCCTTCTTGGTGGCCTCCTTCTCCCGCTCGAGCCAGGCACCAAACTTATCCAGTCGCTGAGCTTCGTCGTCTTTGCCGGCCTCCGCCTCCCAGCCGGCCCCGTCATCCTGTAGGGCAGCAGCTGCACTGGCGCCCGACTTCTTAAACCGGACTTTACCCTCAACTACGTATGCTTCGACCTGGGTGCCGCCAAAGAAGCGGCCGTTCATCATCTGGCCATTATTGTTAGCTCGGCTCTCTATGGCCGTAAAATCATGCTGTACTCAAGCCATACCTGCACACAAGCCCGGGCACACTCGGGGTCGGAGAAGCGGACTGTGGCAATTCCTGATTCTTCTTTGTCGTAGAGCACCACGTTGGTCACTTCACCCAGCTTTGAGCATTCCTCGCGTATGTCTTCTTTAATGTCGAGGATGGCGGCTGGGTCCTCCTGTGAGACAAAGCCGGAAGTTAAAAACATGTTGATGCACTGAATAGAACGATTGGGGGGTTTACCTCCAACTCTTGCAGTGTAAACATATGTTTCAACACCACAACCTTCCCTGCCTTTCCTGAATGTCTAGGCCCAACATCATCATCATCCCAGTCAGTGAGTTTACTATACGCCCAGGTTAGCCAAACTACTATCAACCTCTCCAACTGGACGGCTGCATACTTGTTCAATTTCTGGGTCTTGCGTATGATTTTCATCTTATCCCTCATGTTCGCCTTTGCTGGGGCTTCCTGCACAGCCTTAAAGGAGAAGTCTGCCGGCTGCACCCTCATGTTACCCTCCGTGCCCTTCTCGCCAAACCGGAAATCGGTATCGTCCAGCATCTGAATAGCGAGGTTGACGGATTCGGGACGAAAATATACGACGAGTGCATCGCCTTTAAACGCACCCTGTTCGTCTGTATACATCTTTATGCGTGGCTTTCCGCTGTCGATTTCCTCTGCGATAACGCCGCATTTGCTGAAGAGAGAGCTGATCTCAGATACAGTGGCATCTAGAGGGATGGCAGTTACGTATACGGCGGTATTAACACGCGGTTTCTTGGGTTTCTGGGCGGTAGTTGATTCCTAGAATCTTGTTAGATCTTGAGCCCCGGAGGCAAAAACGAAAAGAAGCTAAGGGAATACCGACATCATTATGTTTCCGCTTCTTCTTTTTCTCCTGGAGGGTCTTGAGATTCGCAGGCTCTTCCTCGTCGACCCCCTGCATCTTGTACGCCTGTCTCTGTTGTTCCATCAAGGACTCGTCCAGCTGTATCTCCGGTCAAGACAATGAGTTAGGATGCCCCACGGATAGAGTCACCATCGTGGCCTCTTTCTTGTTTCAACGTCACTAAGCCATGAGCATGCCTACCGAGGGTATCCATCTCTTCAGAGCGTCATCATAAGTGTATTCCTCGCCATTGTCTGTTTCCAGTATGTACTTGTTGTCAAGCTTCGAGAAGGAGACTCGCGGGTCCGAGTCGAACTCGTCGGGCTGAGGGAAAGTAGACGGCGGTTTCTCGCTGTCAGACATCGCGGCGGCTCATGAAACTCCAGCAGTATCACGGATGTGTTGTTTGTTTCGTCTGTCTCCGGTTGCTTCCAAGTCGACCTCCAGCAAGTCACGAAAAGCCCCGAAGTTGCTTTGGGGAAGCACGAGCCACACCTTAAAGGTCATGTGGTAAGCGTAATACTGTATTGAACACGAGATATCGCGCAAGTAACCCTGGTATTTATGTAATTACAATACGCACTCGCCTTCAGGTTTTCCGCTCTTTTCCCCAATTTGGATATTCTCGACTTCATCTCATCAACTTGCGCTGTTCGACTCTTTTCGACGCCAGCCTGTGATTTTGATATTCAGCATTGATATCAGGACATGGTGTCGCAAAAACTTGACCTGTGGCATGTCAGATTGCATTTTGACCTGTCAGTTCACTTGTGCCAACTAAGCTCGGTGTGGCCAAACGGCTCCTCCACCCGCTTGTCTGCTACTCGCTAACCTGTCTGCAGCTTCAATATCCCTCGCTGACCCCAGTACACACTCTGCAAGCTTATTTGCGTAAACAGACAACCAGCACCGCCACCTGGAGTGACTAGCAGGGGACACAGGGTCACTAGACATTTGCAAAGAGGGCCGCTAGTACTGAGGTGCAAGGTCTAGTAACAATAAAGGGACCAGGGGGAACCGCTAGTGTTAATTATACCAAAGGAGCACAGCTCAAGGTCAAGCCCCAAACCTCAAGCCTCAGGCTGCCCAACCCGCTCTCCGGCCAGCGACGCCCGAAGGGACAAGACCTTCTCTCATAATGGAAAGGGAGAGCCCTGCTACCCGCGATCGAGAACGGGATCATAGCAACGGCGATTATTTTTACACCCGCCATCATCCTGTTGGATACTCGCTTGCCACTGCTTCTCACACCGGCGACAACGAGCACGAGGAAGCCATTCCCGGCCTAGGCCAGAAAGGTAAGATTGCAGTCCAGCTTCTAGCTCCTCTTTGTTCCTTCGTTTCTCGTTTCTTCCCCCCGGTTGTAAAGAGCAGAAAGGGGGAAAAAGTCACAAACTCAATCTCAGCGTCTTCCCAAGTAGGTCCCGGTACACCCAGCGTCGGATCCAATATCAATATCATCAGACCATCACCGTCGCCGCACCTGACTCTTACGCCGGCAGTATCTCCATCCTCGTATCCCTCATGGCCCGGCAGCGCCGCTGCCAGCAATTCTATCGGAGGTAGCAGCAGCAACGGTAATGGTGGTACGGAAGCAGCCACAGCATCTACCATAGGAAGTACAAGCACAATGGGTGAGAGGGAAACCAACAGCAATCTTATACGCCCACAACGGCCTTTGGGGCCAGCCAGAACACCGTCAAACACCTATGCTCCTCCACGACGGCCCAACCAGTTCATTACCGCACACTCAACCAGCCAGTTGCCGCTTTCTTCCAAGAGAACACCCCGCAGAGAACGTGACCGCGATCCCAACGCGCAGTACCAGGCCCAGGAGAAAGCGTATGTACAGAGGGTACGGCAAGGACCACCGAGCGAGTGGTTTGGCACCGATAACCAGATGTCGTCTTCGACTGCCTCGGCAGCCCTAGATCTAGAGTCCGATGTTGGCGAAGAGTCACCCTCCTCCGAGGCTCAGTTTGACCCAGATACCTTTGACCCGGATCTACGCCTCGGACTCGAAGAAGATGATCTCCAGCCCACGCTCGAGGAATTGCGGGATCCCAGAGCACGGGAGAGACTGGAGTGGCATTCTATGCTGGCCTCCGTACTCAAAGGAGATGTCGTAAGGCAGGAAAAACAACGTCTTATTGGTACAATGGAGCAGAAGAGCAAGGAAGTACTAGGTGGTGAGATATGGCTGGGCGTCAAAGCTCGTACTCTTGCGCGGCCTATCGCAACTCAGGCTAGAATCATTGAGGAGGAAAGGAAGAATATTGGCCCAATGCTAGAAGAGATTATCAACTTCAAAATCAAAGGTCAGGCGGAGATCGGGAAACCTCCGCAGCAACAGGTTGAAGATATTGTCGAAAAGATTGAAAACGTGGAAAGTCTGTATGCCTCCCGCAGACAGCTCGAGCTTGCAAACCCCCGTGCTGCTTCCGAGGAGTACTACGAGTCTTATAATGCCATTCTCTCATGGCACAATACCACCAAGCTTATCAACACGCAACTTTCAATCCTACAGAAATGGGTAGGCAATGATGAACTTGACTTTACAAAACCATTGGTCAAGACTTCTTACGCATCAGAACTCTCCGATGAGGGATCGTTCCTCGACCGAGTCATGAAAGAAGATGGTCTCAAGACCCTACAAGGCGGTGATCAGATGCTTGATGGTGTCGGTAAAGTCATCAAAAAGGCGAAAAATACAATGATTGAAAACTCCGACGCGTTCTTGCAACGCCATTTACCTCCTTACATCGAAGAATTGCTCACCCTAATCAACTTTCCTTCACGTCTTATTCAAGAAGTCACCCGCGTCCGCCTCTCATACGCCAAAAAGATGAAAGATCCTGGCCAACAGTCCCCCATTCTCCTTGATCAGATGATCGTCCAATTTCAGATATTGATGAAAGTCGCTACTGAAATCAAATATCGTTACATGGTCATCTCACGCCCAGAGCCAGGTTGGGATCTTCCGCCTTGCGTTGACGAAAACTTCGATATGGTCGTCCTAGACGCGTTAAAATACTACTTCAAACTGCTGAACTGGAAATTGAGTGCAAACAAGAATACCTTCAAGGAAGCAGAAATTCTGGAGCAGGAGTGGGATTTTTCAAATCAGATTGGACGACAGCTTGATGGCGGTGATATCGAGGTTGCCGAACAGTTTAGCACTCTAACCGCCAAAGCCTTGCAGCGGTTGATGCTACATTTTGAGCGTGAACTCCTATCTAAACCACAAGAAGAAGCCTCTGACAATGAGAAACGATACAAGACCATCCTTGATTCCGTTCGGGTACGACAGCGAAAACTCTTCAGGTTCTCACGTTTCCTTCGCCAGCGTTTCGAGAATGCCACCGAGTTCAATCTTCGTAACGACCACGTCGAGACTTTTACTCAAGCACTTTTGGCATCTGGTCATTTCCTCGTTGTTTCTACCAACACTGTTGGCCAAAAAGGTGTATGTCTGATTGCATCACCTTCCCTATACGACCGTAAAAAGGACATTCAAGCCATCCTCGGCACTTCATTCCGCGGTGATGATGTCACTGACAATCTCTCTTACCCTTATATCCTTGTCATCCGGCCAGACAAACCTTTCCAATGGTCTGGAAAACGGTTCGAGGTTGACTTCCTTGAACATCCTACTGATGTCCGGATGGGAAAACTCCGTCTAGTTGCCGATGGATCTCAGGAACGACTTCAAAATGCCCGTCTGGCACTGTCTAGGCTAACAGGCTTGGAATTCGACGTGACTATCGAACAACGTGCGAACCTAGGACGTGTTAATGTAGAGCTGAACAAGATAAAGAAAACGGCGTTTAAATTGTCCAATACTATCATTGATAGTGTGGAGATTATCAGAAGCCAAAGCACGGACAGACAAAATCTTGAACTTATCCAGTCATGCTTTGCCTTTGCTACCGAATTCGGCAAGAGATCACTGATGTACATGGACCCCAACCGCAGGTCTATGAACCAAGGAAAACTAGTCAAACTGGGCCTGGACTGGATATCTTTCATATGCGATGATTGCGATGCTGCGGATCGCAAGACATTCAAATGGGCTGTGTCCGCCCTCGAGTTTGCTATGATAATCACCCATGGCCATGCTATCATTTCTTTGAACGACCAAGAGTACGATCTACTTCGCGTTAAAGTTGCTGGCTGCATGGCGTTATTAATTTCCCATTTCGATATCATGGGCGCCAGATCAACATTGGCTGCCAAGGCAGAAAAGCAACACTCGGATGCTGCTGGGAACTACCGGAATTTAGATTGCAGTGACATTACTAGTGATGAGGTGGCGTTGGCACAGGTACAAGCACAAAGGTTACTGCACTTATCAGACATTGAGGCCTTCCGGGCTGAAGAAGATGCCAAACGACAGCCGCTAGGAAAGGTGCTGGAAGGCGTCAATGAGGCCGACCGTTCGCTTAGGGTACTTTCTTCATCGGCTACAAACATCAACTTACGCTGGCAGCAAGGTCAGTTCATTGGTGGCGGAACTTCAGGATCCGTCTATGCCGCGATCGACCTAGATACAAGTTACCTGATGGCTGTCAAGGAGATCCGCCTCCAAGAGCCATCTGTCATTCCAGGTGCAGCTCAACAAATTAGAGATGAGATGGGTGTCCTTGAAGTCCTAGACCACCCCAACATTGTCTCTTATCACGGTATTGAAGTCCATCGTGACAAAGTATATATATTCATGGAATACTGCTCTGGCGGCTCTCTTGCTACCTTACTTGAGCACGGCCGTATCGAGGATGAGATGGTCATCATGGTCTACGCCCTTCAGATGCTCGAGGGTCTAGCCTACCTTCATCAGGCTGGCATCGTCCACCGCGATATCAAACCCGCTAATATCCTGCTTGACCACAATGGAGTCATTAAATACGTCGATTTTGGTGCAGCAATGGTCATCGCTAGACAAGGTAAAACCCTCGCAGCAATGGACCACTACAAGGATCCCGCAGCTGCAAACAAAGATCAGCGCAAAAATCAAAAGTCTGTCATCGGTACCCCCATGTACATGTCGCCCGAACTTGTTCGAGGAGAATCAAGTAACCGCTCCTCCCGCCATGGATCAATGGATATCTGGTCCCTCGGATGTGTCATTCTTGAAATGGCCACCGGCATGCGCCCATGGGCTGGCATTGACAACGAATGGGCGATAATGTACAAGATCGCCCAGGGAAATCAGCCCCATCTCCCTAGTAAAGGCGAACTGTCCGAACTAGGCATTGACTTCATTAAACAATGCTTTGAACCAGACCCGGCCAAGCGGCCTAGTGCTGCAGAGCTGTTGCAGCATGAATGGATCGTTTGTATCAGGAGGCAGGTTGTTGCAGAGCCGCAAACCCCTAGCAGCGACGGAAGCGCCTTTACACCCAATCCTGGCAACACACGGCAAAACTCAAGTCAATTTTGAAATTATATAACCTGCCAGATACCTTAAAAAAACCGTAAATGTTTCCATTGATCTGAAGATGACTACAGGCACTGCATGATGTTATCTCTCTTCTCCCTTTCTAACATTTGACCGTTGAAACCACTGCTTTTACTCGCCGTCTCCGGCCGTTTTCTCTCTTCTTTATATACGCATTCCATTCTATATACTCTTCGGTCACAAGCACTGCCCTGCTTCTCAACTCCAGTTTTCTTCGTTTCTCCCATTTATCCCCGGCGTTATATACCTGATTTCTTCAATGGATACCTATGATGACAAGACCAGCTCTAATTAACACTTCATTATTCTTGTGATTCCCCCCAACGTTACCACCACTAACACTTTTTCAATCTGTCTCACTGTCTCACGGCTCCATGTATGTTTATTGCCGACAAATACTTGGACGTCCTTTCTGGAAAGAATGTAGTGTCAGATTTATTATATAGCATATAATTGTGCCGGTGATTGTGAAATCTCATTGCATTAAATACTACGGAATGTAGCTGGTATATGTTTCCATGTCACACGCAGGGGACAGGCAGCCCATTGAAAGATTGCAAGTTAAAGCATGAATAGTTATCCCCAGCGCCATAAGTCAGAATCAAGGTATTAAAACATGGCGTAAAGTCTTCTACCGTACCAAGCATCAGCCAGTGTATAACTAACCACTTGAATAATGAGATGCACTGGTTAACTAATAGGAACACACATACCCTAGCGTATCATTATCATCATCTTAGACGCGACATCCCCTAAGGCACTGACAACCAAACGGATTGCACGCTGTAATATCAGTTGCTTAGCGACTAAACATTTCCATATGGGGCATAGTGAAGTTGGAGTCGTGTTTACCTCCTATTCCGCAATCTGGATTTGGCTCGCTTCCGTCTAGGCATCTCTAAACATGAGGTAAGTATCTGACCAGAGCATTTATATACGCAGTAACTGAGGCTAGCGTTTTAGCTAGTAAGGGGCTTACTCCGTCGTATTCTGGATGGCAGCAGTCCACAAGCATAGATGAATCAATTCTATTATTACCACCAAGGCTGGGCCTAACGGGCCGTTGTCTGACTGCCAGCACAAGGGCGAAAAACAGAGACAAAATCGTAAGTATTTGAAAACCTGACTTCATGATTGTGAGTATAGGGGTGGTAACGGGAAAGTATCTGTCTCTATGAAGCTGAAAGGTTGATGTGGTGACGAAAATATATATCTGGGGGACAGTAGGTTCTTAAATAATCGAACGATGCTCCTGAAGATATACATCCCGTGCCCCCTTTTGACGCCCAGGTTATTGCAGACAAAAAACAAAAGGAAGCAAGAAAAAAGGTCAAGAGATTAACGGTATGACAATCATATATTCTAGCCCATGGAAGGCAAGAAACAGTACGAAGACTAGCTCTTTTAAAGTTGAACGATTTGCCAACTTTTGACAGCACTGCAATTAAGTGTACTCCGTAGCAGGTTTTGGGTTGCGTGAAGTGATGCTACGCAATAGTTAACTGATTGGTATCGTCTAGATATGTATGATCCAAGGTGGCAAATAATAATGACCTGTATCCTTTGCTTCCGAGCCACTGGCGCGGTATCACTTGCCGGAACAGTTGGAACAGTTGGAAACAAGGGAAACGGGCATATTAGGGGTAATTGATGATATCCGTAGCACAGAACATGGCTAGCTGGTTTATATGCAACTGGGCAGGGTCGTCCAGTTATATATCCAGCTTACCCAGTATGCACGGTTTCCTGCATGGCACCAGCCATCCCGTTGAACAGAGACGAAAAATGGAGTTCAATCATCGATTTAGCGAGAATGATCGCCACGAACATGCCCTAGCGGTTAGCCCAATTGTTTCCGAACCGGCTTGTTAGTTGGACTTGAGATCCAAGATTGCCCAGCTAGTTATTCCGAACATCGTTATTATAACAGAATAAGCACGAAATTACTGTGTTCCCTCAGATAGTTAGCTTGGTATATAACAATGGGGGAGATCTCTCTGCGACTAGAGTTTATGATATGAGTACTCCGCTCGTTCGTTGCCTTTGGCTGTGGCTTTGCTTGTGCAATACCGGAGGGGGAAGCAGTGTGAGCAGGGTAATAATAATAGGGATATCGTAAATCTCGAATTATTGGTCATGATTCTTTTATCCCTCCAATGAAAAAAATTGGTTAGCGTTAAAAGAAACAAGTTAATGTTTAATATTTTAGGGTTAGCAATTTAACCATAAAACTCTAATTTCCAACTAGTTAACCTAGTTAAGTGGGTCAGAAGTTTCTTCCCCCTTTCCCATCCGTGCGAAGCGCTCGAGCATATAATTTTAGCAGTTAGCAGCCTCTGGTCGCTTTTCCATTTGTCGCGATAGTGGGCTCTGGGACCCGATTATCAGTATGAAAGCTCCTCTCCTGCCAGTTCCTCGCTCAGCCGCCACAATCTTTTTGTGTCAAAAAAGGTTCGTCACCCACGACTTAGCTTGACCGTATCTACCATGGGATCTGCCACATGGCAGTCAAGCAGATACGCTCTATTATCAAGCCAAATATTCAGCATTTTCAACCGAGTGCAGGAGTTGTCGGCGTTACAGGCTGTTGGTACTCCGTACCGAGCATGATAGTCCGGCTGCTGTGGTGGGCTGGATGAATACTGCTCCAAGGGACGGAGGTCATGAATAAGGTCGTCTCATACTCCGTACATGCCACCAAATTGTAATGAGAATCAAGTATATATATACTATGGTCGAAGAAGCGTATGTCAGAGAGATTAATTACGTAGATGCTTCCTCCTTCGACTTCTCCTCATCCACCTTTTCCTCTACAATTCCCCACTGTACCCTCAACCGCTCTACCCATTCATGAACGGGTATGATTTCGCTTCCAACCCGAATGGACCCTTTGGGCACCTGCCTTGCAGTATCTGCATCACAGTAGGGAACAAATACGAAGCTGTGATTCCGTCCACACACTTTCATGTCTTTGCCGTTGTTTTTCATTTCGTTATAACAGTCGTTGCAAAACTGCACATCCAAGCAATCTTTGCATGCATGGAATTCACTCGCCCAGATCCATTCACGTCCACAACCGCCGTCGCAAGACAATTCGATGGGTCCCGATAAATCCTCGTCCTCCTCATCATTATCTTCTCCCTCTTCCGCATCAACTTCCTCCGTTTGATTCTTGTCTTCTTGCTCTTCATTTTCATCCGTTGATTCCCTGCCCTCTTCAGTATCACTGTTTTGAACTTCCGCTTCAGCCATCTTTATCTCTGCTACTCCTGCTACCACTGTCACATCAATTTCTTCGACTTCGATCTCGGTAATTCCTGCAGATTTGACAGTTTCCCCACCTTCACTCGTTAGGCCTGTAAGTATGGGAATTTCTTCCTTCACACCATTATCTGTTTGGCCTTTGCAGTCACCGTTCGCGACATTTCCCTGTTCCGAAGGGTCTTCTGTTTCGTCCACTTTGTCTTCCGCTTCTTCTTCTTCTTCTTTCACCTCTTCTTCTTTCACCTCTTCTTCTTTCACCTCTTCTTCTTTCACCTCTTCTTCTTTCACCTCTTCTTCTTTCACCTCTTCTTCTTTCACCTCTTCTTCTTTCACCTCTTCTTCTTTCGCCTCTTCTTCTTCCGTTTCTTCTGTATGGACAAATGGTCCAAGCGCAGACCAGGCAGCGAGGGTATTAACATCATCATCAACGTGTGCTACAGACGTCAGCCTCAAGTAAGCATCCCAGTCATTGCTATCATCATCATCACAAAGCAGGTCTAACGCTACTTTAACATGTCCCCTCAAGGTATCCATTGCTTTCTCTTTTTGACCCATTAAATGCTGTAGTCGGGCGATCACGAATTGTAGGTTTTGGCAAGTGAAGAAAGTTGTTCCATCTTTCGCATCAGGGCGCAAGTCCATCAATTTCTTCAAATACTCCTCGGCAGCCGGTGTGTCGACTCCAGCATCGAGAGCTTGATGAAGATATACCTCTCCCAGTTTTTCAGTAGTCGCCTCTAGGATATCAGCTTCACTCATAAGATAAATCTTGCGGGCGGATTTGTTAACGATATGTGCCCATATTTTGATGGCTTCCGCCTTGTCTGCATCAGTCCTTGGATACTGGTATAACAAGTTGGCGAGGAAGTAGTTGAGCCATGAGGTAACGTATGGGATCACTCCAACTACGTTTTCTGGGGCTAAGGCTTCGTACATAGAATCACGGACAACATCCATGCTGGAGGAGTGAAATCCAGCCGTGTTCAATCTTGTGAAGTATTCACCCTTGTTTGCGTATTGATGATGCATTGCTGTGAGACGGTTTTGGCCTTTGCTGTTTTTCTTGCCTTGCAAATCTTGAAGTGTTTCAATGATGGCTGTGTATTTCTCCTGTTTTTCAAGCAACTCTAAAGTCCAATATATAGGCGCATACTGGTCCATGTCATGCTCGTGAATTTCTTGGAAAGCGGCGGTGGCTTTGTCGTATTCCTTGATATCAGTATTCCATACTCCATAGGACGCAAGAACTCCAAGATAAAACTTTTCCTCGTATTCGATCCTTAATGCTTCCTCATTTCTGAATCTTTCCATCACAGGCATTATTAGTTCCAGAGATGCTTTTGTATCATCCCTTTCCCAGCATGATTCAGCTTGGATATAAGAGGCACGCCAATTTGAAGCGTCCAGATTGCGAGATGCAATACACCTATCAATAGATTCCTGGTAAAATCCAAAGTTATGCAGGGTAATTCCCATCTGTACTTCCCAGAGTGTGTCAGGGGTGTCCATGTCTAGTTCAGATTTTGCCCATTTTTCTACATCATATATTTGCTCCAATGTAGGGGAAACATCTGATGTAACCCGCTTACCTTCCCCTTTACGTGCTTTGATCTATCGACATAAAGGCATTAGCATATGGTAAAGAGCCCACTACAAGATGAGATGCAAACCTTAGTTACATATCCTAGTAGCCACCAGAAAAAATTGCGAGTCTCCCA